CTCCATGCCGGAGTCCGGGCTGCTGGAGAGGAAGTCATTCTCGTTGTTGTACTCCAGGATCTTGCCTGTCCTCACCGCGATGTGGGTCTCGATCTCCTCCCGGGCGCGCTCAACATTGCCCGGCGCACCGGTGATTTCAAAGACGGGGTCCCGGTCCCGGCTGGGCGTGATGATGTAGGTGTTGGTCTGCTGCTGAATCCGCTTGATGGTGGCTCCTTTGGGGCCCACCACCAAGCCCACCACGCGGTAGGGCACGCGCACCCGGATGGTGACTTGCCCCGGCAAGGTGGGAGCACTGCCAAAAGTGGTGCCAGCCTTGTTGCGGGAGGCCCTGATCATGGAGAAGTGCTCGGCAGCGGAGATGATCTCCCGCCGGGCCATGGCCACGTCCTCCCGCCGTCCCGTCACCATGAAGACCGGCTCCTCGCCTCTCACTGGCGTCTTGATGTAGGTGTTGGTCTTTGCCCGCAGGGCTTTGATCTTGCAGCCTTGGGGAAGAGAGAAAACAAGGCAGGGAGGTTAGAGAGGCTGTCCCACCGCCCGCGCCTCTCCTCAGCAAACCAGGCCAAGCCGCCATGTTTTCAGCAGGCCCTGCGCCACACAGCAGCCACTGCCTGGGGGCCTAAAATGAGGGAACGTCCCTTTGCCCCCTAACCCTGACAGGAGGAATGCCAGAGGAAGGATTCCCCTTCATCGCCCCAGTGAGCTCTTCCCTCTGGAACTCCCCGTGCCCTCATCCTCAGGTGGGTGTCGCTATTTTGTGATGCCTCCCATCACGCGATCCCCCTCAGCTGCCTGCCTTGAGAAACTGGCCATTCCTCAGCAATCACCCCTCAGAGACCTCCCTTTCACACACCCACAAGCACCGGGGCATCGGGAGGGATTCAAGCCTTCCCCACGGGCCAGCGGTCCCTGTGAGAATGGCTGTCCCTGCTAAGGCCCAGGCCCCGCCATGTTGCCCCTCAGAGAAGATGGCCGCCCTGGCTCCTCTCTCACCAGGGCCCATGAGAGAGGCTGGAGATGGCAGGAGAAAGCAAGGGGATGCCAAGTCCACAACCAGGCGTGGCTGATGCGCAGCCTCTTCACCACCCCACACCAGCTCAGGGGGAGCACAAGGGGACAGACATCTGCCATAACTCAAGAGAGCAGAGCCCTCCATGGGGATGTCTACTGTGGAACTTTTGGGGTGAATATACTGTGATCTGGGTCACTTCTGGGGGCGAAGTAGCAGAGATGCAGCCATTTGGGCTCCCCACCTCAGACACGGTGGGACCCAAAAAGTCGGCACTGCTAGAAGCCTGGGGGGTAGCAAGATACCAGCGTTTGCTTTGTGGTCAAAACAGCAAGAAACGGGGCTGGGCTGTGTGCCCACCAGTAGCTGCAGCGAAGGCACGGCCTTGGCTGACTCTCCAGCTGGTGCATCAAACGCTGATGGCCGCAGACCCCACCACAGCGGTCCAGGCACTCGGACCCTCTCCGGAGGTCACTTGCCATGCCGGTGCTTTTGTGTATCAGTATCCACCTCCCTGGAGCCCACTAAGCCCATTCCCCCTGCTCCTTCCAGCTCAGAAAACATCTTTCGGCTTTTCCAAAAAAGGCAAGAGACTTTTCAGTGTACTTTGGCTTCCAAATAATTTTTTAGAGGGGTTTAGAGCCAGCTGTGTGCCTCCAGGTTCCTAGATGACACTAGGATGCCATCAAGCAACTAAATATTTTTACGGATGTGGCACAGTTTTCTGAAGTACATCTGGAAACCCTCCCTGCTGCCGTCCCTCTGTCCTCGCTCTCCAAAAGCCTCACCCGGTGCCTGGAGGCATTTTCAAACCCCGGCACCAAGTTCCCATGCAGACTGCGGTGTCCTCTGTGGGGAGGTTTGCTCGAAGCCCAGGTTTCAGAACATGATTCTCCAGGGCCGGTGGAGAGGTGATGCATTTCTGCTAGCGCAGATGCAGTAAGGCGAGCATTTTGCCCTGGTTTCCCAAGGATTCAGGTGTCTGACTCGGAGCTCATGAAACAAGAGGATGAAGATATGACACTGAAACCTCTGTGAGGTTCCCCCACCCCATCTTCTCTCTCCAAAAAGGCGCCCATCTCTTGTCCTCTGACCTCTGACCATCTGACACCAGCAAGTTTTCCTCGACATACTACACTGACATCATACTTTAACACAAGATGACCTGCAAACGATGCTTCTGCAACCAAGAAATTAAGGTTCCTCAGCTCGTGGGCTGGAACATTAGTATTTATACAGATCCTACTAAATAACATCATCTCTCCCAGCGGGGAGTTCAGGGCTGCCACTCACTTAGTGCTGCCACTTATCTGCAGCTCAAGAGACAGACTTGTGACATCGGGGTACTTACAGGAACGTAACGATCCCACCACCACGTATCATCAGCACGAATCGAACCCCGCACCTTTTGTGATAGAAACGGAGCCTCGTGCCACTACGGCTGACAAGAACAATTCCCCGCGCTCGCAGCGGTGGCAGGCGCCGTGCACGCTACAACCCACAGCCACAGCTGCACAAAGCATGCTCAGCCCGGCAGCGCACGTTCGCAGCTCGCACGGGCACCGGGGTGCAGCCTCGCCGAGCAGCAGGAGACCGCGCGCACACGAAACCTCCCGGCAGAGCTTTGGAACCCCACCGCCTGTCAGAGGGTCTTGGCATTGGCGTAGGACACGTGCCGGTAAATCCTGACTTCGCTGTCGACTCCCCGCGCGGCTTTTAAGTCCGCAAAGCTACTTCAGCTCCCCGAGCCCCAGTGCCCCAGGTGTGGAACGGGAGGAATAGCTGTACTGGGCGCCGGTACGGCGAAACTTCCTGCGATGCTCAGCATCGCGGTGTTGCTGGGTTAAACCCATCTCTAAACCACCGATTTCACGTTCCTGGGGAATGGGAATGCTGGAGCTGACCCAGAGAAGGAGCTGCGCAAATCCCCCAAATACAAACCAAATTCCCCCCCGGCCAAGCCCGACGTAGCTCACGTTAGTCCCCACCGAGTTTGCACCCTGGAGTTCACTTGCAAAGCTTTGTTCAGTAAAGTTTCTCACTGGTTGGTGTGACCCAGCGGTCACCTGCAGTGTTGTATTTCTAGTGCTTAGGAAACTCCAAGAACAGGACTTCCCGGTGACAGGCACGACACAACCGTTGGATAAAACCACGGGATAAAGCTTCACCCCAAGGAGCCCGTGAAGGGCGGGATAAAACAGAAAGGGTTCACCTACGCCCTCCCGCAGCCCAGGGCAGGGTCGGCTCTCCCTGGCCCATCCCTGGCAGACATTTCCCTGCTCTGCTCCTATGCTGCTCGCTCCAAAGATGGAGATTCCATCTTAGGAAGATTAACCGAGATGCCACCATTTCCCCAGGGGTATCACCGGAGCGTCGCGTGGAAAGAAAGGGGGTGTTAGCAGCGAGCATCCACGCTGATCCGTGTGTCGCCCCACATGGAAGCAGCGTTTGCCAAATTCCTTAGTGACCCCCGTTCTGCCTCCCGGGAGCGCGAGGCTTGCTCCCGTTTCCAAAAGGACCACAGGTAGGCGTTCCTCAGGGCTGGACTCGGGCTCCGCGTTTTTCTAAGCCACCACGGGACAATGACTGCATGTGGGGGAGAGGGATCTGAGCCCAGCACGACGGGAAACAATCAAGGAGGTGACAGGGAGGGTCAGGCAAGCAGAGCAGTGACAAAGGACAGGGGCTCCATGCTGGGGACAGATGGAAGGAAGCGGTGGCAAGGAATACACATGAATGAGGGCAAACGTAAGCGAGTTACGCGAGCTGGAGAGGGTGGGAGGGAGTTAGGGGTGGAGGAAAGGCGATGGAAATTGAGAGAGAGGCACGTTGTGATCCCTCGGAGGCAGGAGGGGAGATAGGGGTGTGGAGGCAAAGGAGAGACACCCCAAAACGGCAAAAGGGAGATGGGCAAGGAGAGAGCGTGGCGAGAGGGGGAGGGAGGATCTAGAAACGGACAAAAGGACGCATGGTGCAGTCGATGGTGTGAGAAGCAGGGGGAGGAGGAGGGAGGGTCTCCGTGCAGGCCTGCAGACAGGAAAGCCAGCTTTGCCGAGACAGACAGATGGGGGATCCTGTGCTTAAAAACTGGAGAAAATAACCCCGCAGGAAATTAGACCAACTCCATCAAGACCAGCAGCCCAGCAGGTTCAGTGGCCCAGATCCCTCGCAGCTCTAAATTGGTGCAAAGAGGCCAAGCCACCAGCAGTATAAACCCAGGTAACTCCACCAACTTCCCCGAGAGCTGCGCTGATTTACACCAGCTACAATCAGGCTGGGCTCGAGTCTGCTTTACACACTTCGTGCCAAGGCTCCCAGCCCATCTCAGCCCCAGCCCTGACCTCGCTTCGCACAGCTGAACAGGGGCTGAGCCGCCCTGGGCATCGCTCCGCTCCTGACAGCGCAGCCAGGTCAGGATGTGGCCCGTTATACCCTGGCCAGGTGGGCAGCACGGGCCTATCTGCTTTTTTCAAATGAGATTTGGCCTGTATGCGTTACTTTTTATTTCTTTTAATGAAAGGTTTTCTTCGTGTGTAACTGAAATTTGGAAACAACATGCAACACACGGCTTTACCTGGTGGATTATTAAAAAGGGAAAGAACTGCCTAGTAGCTGGTGTTAAAAATGTAAAACTAAGGAGAAAAGGACCTATACAAACTATAATAATATATAACTTTGCCGTAGTGTTCTACTCTTTAAGGCAACGTGCAGACATCAGCTAATTGATCCCTGGCAGACTCCTGCCAGTTAGATTTTTATGTTAGAGAGAGAATTACGCCCTTTCTTCTTGTGTTTCCACCACCTCGCTTCTATTATTCTGTTTTTTTGCCAATAACACAGATCCCAAAGCATTTTGCAAAAGGAGGCTTGTATGATTATTCCCTCCCCCCACCCCTTTTTCTTTTTAAACTTCAGTTAACTGATTGCCAATTGACTCCAAGTAAATGTGTTTGCAAATTACCCCAGTAAGCCACAACTGTTAACATCCAGGAACAAACCCTTGAGGACTGCGGAGCCTCCGGCACCCAGACCAGTTATCCAAGCAGAATTAATGCGGAGAGCAGCTAGCTCTGGGTAATAAATAAATAAATAAATGGAGTCTAGACATTGCCAAACTGGGGAGGGATGGTGGGGAGGGGGATCATGGGGGAGATTTGGATGCACAGCCACACTCTCCTCTCTGCTTACCCCTGCATCGGGGGTAAACAAATCCATCAAAACGAGCAGAAGAGGTATCAAGAGCTTGGTCCACGTGTCCGCAGCTACGGAAGTTGCTCAGGAGGGCAACAAGGGTGTAGGATGCCCCCGATCCGACCACCGCTTCCTTAGCGCGGACCCATCCCAAACCTCTTCTCACTCAGAGCGGCGTAAAACCGAGGTGCGTCCATGGGACCTCGCTGCGGTTTGCACCGAGGCTCCGTGCGCCGCTCGGGCAGCGGGAAAAGGCTGGAGCGGCGCATGGGATGGATGCGTGCT